GCGGAGTCTCTAGAGGACAACCACCACCTACGGCTGATGCTCGTCAACGGAAGAATCATCAGGTGAGAGCTCGCAGCCCTTTGGTCTACACGGCAATGTTGGTGCTACTTAGTCATTTAGGCTCAGTGGTCATTTTCACAGAAAGATATGGACCTTTCTGTGCAGAGGGGAAATCTTGCCAGTTTTTACAAACCTGTCCACCCCCAAAAATAGAGAAAAACATAACAGGCACTAGAGTGAGAGAGACATAACAATAACAACCTTAAATGAATCTGCCTTCATGCAGGGAAATAAAACGGGAATTTATTTGATACCCATATTTCATTTAAATAACAATAGAGATTTTAACAATGTTTTGATGCCATGATTCTCTCTAATCTGCAATTCTACAGTCAAGATGATCTATATTATTTGTGAAAATTACATTTTATTTCCTAATTTTTCAAACGTGGATTTTGTGTGCAGAGACTTGAGGCAGCCAGTGAAGACGGAGGCTGAGTGCTCATCGGGCAGCTCACCAAAGAGTTGTACGGATGTGAAGTCTGAAAGGACAGAGGACAGCGGAGAGCAGCACAGCACAGTCTGGAAACCCACGTTCCTCAGTAAGTCACTAGAAGCTATTGTTAGTCATATAATTATGATTAAACTCAAATCTTATTGTGTTTATTGTCAAATGCTCATGGTGTGTTCCTGTGTTTCCCAGGTGGTCTGGAGAGGATGAAGACTGAACTCAGGGAAGAAGTGTCAGGACACTCCGGTGTGTCAGACGCAGATTCAGACAGTGACTCTCCCACAGAGGTAAATACTGAGAACAGCATCAAATGTCTTACTTTATTGATTTCTCATGTCATATTCAGAATCATTTGGTTGTTTGCCGTCTTATAGCTTCATTGTGATAGTGTGCCAGTGTCACTTAATGTTGTTTTGTTGACTAAATGTTTTATTCCTTCAAAGGTTCTACATTATTATTTGTTCACATTATTTACTGGTTTATTGATCAGAGGCAGTGCACCTGACATTGCTGTATATGCACGTTGTTTACATACTTAATAAATTACGACATTTCTGCAGCATAAAGCATCGTCGTCGTCGTCTTCGTCATCGTCATCCTCCTCTTCTGATGAGGATTCAGGGAGTTCCCAGGAGGAAGAGGAGGATGAGAGGGGCTCAGGGCACACCATAGAGCTGGACCAGTCTGGCCAGAAACTCAGGCACAAACACAAACCACTCAAACGGTGAGAAACACTTTATCAACGTGCAAAGATATTGTCCTTCATTCAATGGGTTGAATATGCATATTATCTTTTAAATGCAATTCTCGTGTTTTTTCATATAACTGATGGTCAATCAAATGGGCTATGTCAAATATTCAAAGTGACACGCATGAAGGAGCCTCTAGTGTACATGGTGGTATCATGGCAATGACGGGTATTCACTAATGATGTCCTGTGTGCTCCTTGCAGAGAACGTCCTACCTCACCCAGCACAGAAGAGGCCATTCAGGGGATGCTGTCTATGGCCGGGCTGCTGTGCTCCTCCGAGCCGGAGAAGGTGGCCTCCTCCCAGGAGTCCTGGTGGTCCGGCTCCAGCCAGGGCTCGCCTCTGGAGCGGAGGGAGGAGGCGCAGCACCGCCTGCAGGGAGACCAGAGCCCCATGGACAGCCAGGGCAACAGCAGCGAAGCCTGGGACAATCAGGGGCTCCCCAGCCCACTCAGCAGGGGCCACAGCGGCAGCCCAGAGACAGAATACCAGTACTGTGACCCCTCCATGTCCCCACCACTGCACCCCTCCAAGAGGCACGCACCCAACCCCCCACCCATCAGCAATCAGGCCACGAAAGGTTTGGAAATCAGATTTTTCACTTCACCAAGCTTTGGAAAGACCAGAGTTTGACCTTTTTGAAAGGTTGTTGTAACTTAAATGGATTAGGGGGTAGTTTCTCTTTGTGCACCTTAAATCTGAGTTCAACACGAGTGTGCATTTGCATGATTTGTGACATCTAAATTACTTTTAAAGCCTATCCTACTACAACATTTAACCAACACAAGTGTGATGTGGTTACTTCAGTGACATAAGACACATTTATTAATATGTTATGTATTTGCATTTTTCATTTAAAATCGCTTTACTTGCTACTCAGCTGTTGAATAATTATAATTTTAAAACATCTGTAGGGAACATAAATAAACTGAATAGAAAGATAATATGTTTGAGAGTTGTCACGAATTGGACATAAACATTTGTCAGATAAGCATCATATTGATCAAATAAATGTATCATGCATGCATACATTACCTTATTCATTTGGAAATAAAATAAGACATAACCATTTTTAGTATACGAAAAACTGAAACTAATTCTCACAGCAAATCGTTTTACAAACCTTTAGTAATAATTATAGCTATTTATGATTCATTTGAATGCTGTTGTCCTTTTTTCAGGCAAAAGGCCCAAAAAAGGAATGGCCACAGCCAAGCAGAGACTGGGGAAGATTCTGAAACTCAACCAACACAATCGTGTGTTTGTGTAACAATCCAAATCTCCAAACGCAAAGAGATGCGTGGGGATGTGTTCTTTGGGGAAGAAAGAAACACTGGTGTATTTGTTACCAGACACTCTTGTGCTTCAGAAAAGGAGGGAAAAAAAACATACACACTGCCTGGAGTCGGCCAAATTTTGACACGTAAAACACGCTCACTGTGCATGCTAAGGAGACAGGGTATTGGATTTGAAAAAAGCAAGTGCACGACTTCACCACAAGCACACTAAGAACAAAACAGAAAGGAGCTACGGGAAGCTGAAAGGGACAAGCATGTTGTGAGATGTTCTGCTGCAGGGAAAGGTGGACCGAGGCTCCTGTGGGCATTCAAATGGACCGGGGAGGTGTCGGAGGTCTACCTATCAAAAACGCTTGCTTTGCCAGGGAGCAGCTTCTGATGCCAACATCATCTGGATCATATTTGAGTATTTCTCTCTGCTGAACATCCCCCCCCCCCCCTCCTCCGCACAACCTTCACTTGCTTCATGGCTTTCTGTGAAAGGAGCAGATGAAACCGAGCTGTATTTTTCGAGCAGGGTCTTTTTTTTTCTTTTTTTCTGAGGCTCTGAGGGGGGCAAATGAGGTGCTAAGGAGGATGTGGTGAACAGAAATGTCAAAATGGTGCTTCTTGTTTGTACTTTTCTCAACTCATGCTTGTCCCTTCCGGCCTACACCTCCCTCCCTGATACCACCCCCCCCCCCCCCCTTTATCTCAATCACACCAGCAATAATGACTTTGAGGAGAGTGAGAGGCAGCACTTTGGAGCATCCTATTTGGTGCATTACAGACTTGCACAATTCAGTGCAAACTGTACTCTCAAATGTGCACTATGTTTGATATGTAAAGAGTCCGTTTCTAAGCTGGTGGCTTAAGGCAAGCTGCTCAAAGTGCTGCCTCTCTGAATTTGTTTAAAAATAGGAATTACGAGTATTTCCTCGGTCTAAAAAACCGAGGACTCGCATGATATCCTGCTTAATTTATTTCTTTTATCTATGTTGTTGATTTTTTTTAATGTGTTGTTTTTATCGATTCTGAATGATGTATTTATTAATTGAAAGAGATAATGATTTTATTATATTTCGACCCTAAAGCCTCAGTAATTCTGAGGGTTTTTCTTCTTTATAGGGTATTTTTTTTTGTCTTTAACAAACTTTTTGTAAATGTGGATGTTTTAGAGTTCATGTGATCATCATCTGTTGAGTAGCAATTTACCTACTAAATATTTGAATAGCTTCTATTCTTTCACAACTCTTTACCCCCGTCCCCCCAGTTGAATAGATGTGTTGATTCTTGTCTGTCTGGTTTCTCCCTGTAGCCAGAGGTGTTGGGCTATGTGCAAACAGAAACCATGTTAGGTCCAATGTCAACTTTCATTATAATTACATCCGAGCTTTTTCAACTAGTGCCAGTTATCTTTTTAGCAAAAAAACAAAACAAGTATTCTGAGCCACTGTGGTCGATGCATTAAGAAGTGAACGTTTGTGGAACTTCTATGGGATGAGTGAATTGAGTTGTTTTTTTGAATACCAGTGCTGATGTTCGATGTGTGTTTTGCTCGGGGTGCGCAGTTCTTCACTCTCAGGGAATGATGCCATGGACATAACCTTCGATTAACCAGTAGCCTCGTCGTGGACGCAGACAGGATGTTCTCAGCACTCACTCGAGACTTTAAAGGTTCACCTCCTACTTCAGGAGGTGTTGTTTTTTCATTGCGCAACAAAAATCATTTCATGGTTGTGGTTTTCATGTTGTAAAGATAAGCTGTCAGTCATTGTACTTTTTTTAAGCAAGCTTTTACAACTTATGTTAACATGACTTTGGTATTGTCCTTCACTGCTTCCGAACTCACTTTCAGCTCAGTGTTATTGGAGACACTCTTTTTGGGTTGACTCTAAAACATCCATGCTGCTAACTGGCAGTCTCCCAGAGACTTTGCTCAGGTTGGCTTGTAGTACACATGACCTGCGAGGGACTGTGATCAATCTACCAGCCCCGACGAGGTGTTTCACAATGAACCAACCTAAAAGAACGAGTGTTCATCACATTGCCAGACTGATCTCCTCCTTTTTTCTTACACTACACTTTAACATTTGAACTCTTTGCATGTCAAGTCATTGAAAACACGAGCTGGCCCGCAGGCAGGGCTTGTAATATTCATCGTAGTATTCAGAGTCTCTTTGTTTCGTATGCAGCTCTCGGCATTTGTGAAATGTGCGTTGGTTTTTACAACAAAAAAAAAAAAAAAAGTTTTAAACTTCTTATGATTTAAAATATACAAACACTGGCTAACTGTGACACTGTTAATGCGTTGCATTTTGTTTCTGCATTTCAAAAAAATTGCGTGTAAATAAAACTAATGAAATAACATGCTTGTCTTTTTTGTCAAGCCCAGCTCATGTTCGCATTGAAACCATCTTATGCTGTTGGTTATTGTAAAAAAAAAAAAGGCAACATTTTACATATCTTATTCATACAGATCTTTTTATTAGTTTATTTACAGAACTGACTTTCGGGATATCCAGAAGATTTAGACTTGCCCCGCAGCTAGAATTCCTCATTGTGACCTTGAAAAGAAACAGATTTACTACAGTGGACCAAAACAAATGCCATCCAAAGTTGCCCGTATAAGGGACACCTAGCTAAAACAACAGTTCTGCAACAAGTTATAATTTTCAGTACCCCATTGCTATACATAGGGTACACATTAATAAAAACATCTGTCCATCTCCAAAACCTCTCTTAAAGAGCTGTGCATTAATTGACTGAGTCTCTTGTAATAAAACAGCGATAACCTGGTTGAAAAAGACTGGTGAGTTTATGGCCAAATTTAACATCAAGTTCATATTTAGAGACATTTGACAGCATCGTAAAATATATATTTCTTAGTTCAAGAAGACTCAGATTTCCCTCCTGTGTTCTGGTCTTCTGGCAGTGAATTACATACTGTATAAAAAAGCTGGTTGTCCTGAGTTGTTAGCATACCTTTGTCCTTTTTAAGCAAATGAAACAGAAGAAATGATCTTATTCGTCATCTGGTGGGATTCCAAGCTCCTCATCTGTCCATTCAGAGGCCTCCGGCCAGGGGAAGTGACCCTATGAAGAGCGAAGAACCTTCACTTAACGTTTGCATTTCAAATTAAGGTTAGTGGATCTTTGCTATTGCAGTCTTTCCATTTCGACTCCTGACTTATAATGAAGCTTCTAACAAATAGTTAAACATAACTGCATTTCCATTTATTTCATACTGGACATTGTAATTTAATCCAACAACATAATCTCATATTCCACCTAGACATCCACCTGCAGCAGAGGGCCATGCTCATGCAGGGACTTGATGGTGTGAACTCATGTATGTTTACTTACATGCTCAGTTTTGGGGCTGGATACTGTATAATTAAAGTTTACTGAAGCAGGATTACTTACCAGGACTGCATCAGGGTCGTGCCAGGAGTGCCAGAGGATCCAGAACCACATGGCACCGCTGAGCAGCTCGGACTTCAAAATATGTTTCTTCGATATTATCGGGAACTGCCTGTACAGTGGCACTATAGTCGGTGTGTCGCTACCACTAGAACATTAAAAGCACAACAAAATACACTTAAAATCAATATGACATAGTATACAGGATAACATTTACGATACTTTTCTAAGTTTTAACGACAAATCACTTTTTAATTACAGTTTATGTACGCAGGTCGTTTTGCTAATAGCTGCTAGTGGGTTTGACGACACTTACTTTCTGATCGTTATCCTCTGTGTACCGCGTCTCAGGAGCTGAGATCCTGTGCGAAGGACTCCCAACGCCCTTCCAAAAGAAGCCATGGTTGCTAATTTCCCCGCAACCAGCCCTCTATTGGTTATTTTGTACGATTTGACCAGCTAGCCACTGTCCGTCTCGCCGAGGAGTCACCTTCTCCCTTGTCAATAAATGACCTCCTAACAACGACGGCTGTGATTGGACAGAGTGTTCACGTCCGTTGTTCCTGTACGCTAATTGGTTGAATGAAAATACCGTTTTAAAGAGACAGCGCCCTCTTCTGTTCTCCTGTGGTGAGGACTCTCCCTTTGAGTTCAACCAGAGCCGTATACATTACATTACATTATTAGTATAAAGATTATAATAATTAATGTATTCATATATAATAAAGTATTTATACGGCTCTGAGTTCAACTGTTTGATAACTTTTGTTCATAGTATTTTACTTTTAAATAAAATAACGTCACTTGTATAGCCAAATATGTGCAACTTTAGATAGGCATAGACACTTGTATGCTTTACTCCACTACCTTTTCCTGACAGCTTCAGTTACTATTCAGGAAACATTGTTCTACCCTCTGATTTATTTTCATGGTTTCAGAGTGTACAGTGCATAATTACCTTATCCCTACAAGAGAAACTTTCACCTTTTTAATCTTGACTTAGAAATACGAGATGTTTACCTATTTTGTAATATTGGGCTACCCTTATGTGATCACATTTGTACCTCTATTGCATAACTTCATGGTAGTCAGAACATTATATTTGTCGATAGTAATATTTATTATATTACTATCGACTTTCATTTATGTATCTATGCATTTAATACAACCTGCTCTAAATACATGACATTGGGAAGGCTATCTCTGCAGAGCAGGGACACAAATCCTGGTAATAAGAATTAAATTACAGTTTGTAAATGAATGCGGGGGGAGTCGACTCATTCATGTGTCAATGTTCCCTGCATTGCCCACTAGATGGGGCCAAAAGCTAAGCTGGTAAAATGAAACTCTACCGGATGCTGTACTGTTTTTGTGTTGTACCCGGCATGGCAAGGTTAATAGTCTTTACGAGAAGCATGGGGTCGTTTAATGTCTAAAGTTGTGAAAAGTGGCAAAGGATAATGAAATGCTTATGCAAGTTATCTAGAATGTGAAGATCACCCACATTTAATAAAACGTTAAGGGTTTGCTTTCCGTCACTACATGGCCAAACATGGGGTTACAACAAACAGATGCATCGGGTCACTTCTTGGACTGCGGTTGTGGTCGAACATTGTTTATAAAGCAAGTACTTCTCAGGATATGAAAACAGGAAATAATAACATTGTGGCGAGAACGCGCACGGCGCCGCCGCCCATGAGTGCTCGACCCTGCGTGCACTCAAAGAAAGAAATCCTCGACGCCATCTTGTTTCCAGTTGACAACGATAACAAATCCCGTCCAACAACAGGAAGTCTCTTTTTTTATCGCCCGCGGCGAGTAGTCAATGTCCACTGCATGGGCAATATAAGTATATTAATGTCAACCACTCTATGTTGTACCCACCAGAAGCCCCTATTTAAAAATAACTCCACGCACAGTACGTTGTTACCTAATGGCGCCTGGTCTCTCCGGTTGCGCCCCTCTCCCCTCACAGCTCAAAGCCCGCCCACAAATACTAGCTGCATGATGTCATCGGAAACCAACCATTTCTTTAAAAAAAAATGATCCATTTCTTTTTGATCAATGGTTAACTTTCCACCATCTGTGCGTCTTTATCTTACATTTAAATAGGGAATATCATCTTCAAACCGAAAACGCGATGGGCACAACAAGGGTCATGGATAAATGTTATCCTCTCCGAAACCGACAGTGATCTTTTTTTTCATCGGTGCATCCTCCAGAGCCGAAACATCTCCGTTTAGAAGCGGGTGATAGTGGCTCGATCGGGCCATGTTTTACCTCCGTCGTCCCCTAAGTTTATTTCAAACAACCCGACTGCCCGTGCACCAGCAGTTGCAGCGGTCCTGCACAAGTGCGCATGCGCGGGGGGATGCGGTTTCGTGTGGGGGAGGGTCAATAATAAATGGAAACGATGAGAACATCCTCTCTCAACATATGATGTCAAAGGGATTTCTACCGACATATTTCTGGAGATTTAACAGTAACCGATTTACCACAACAATACAACTGTCTGAAACATTGCTATAATTATTAGTTGTCAACAATTCCAGCTTACGTTTAGTTAAATGCTTGTTAAATAAATCAAAAGGGTTACAAGTACATTATAGAGTTACTTACTGATGGTTGCATTAAACAGACAACATATACTTAATATTTTACATTTTGATAACACAGTAAATTCAAACGTTTGCAAGCCTAATAAATGAGAGTGATGTAAGTCTGTGTATCCCACCTTGCACTTGCACGGTGTGAATAGAACCAAACAAGTGTGTGTGTGTGGTTTATGACATGTTCAATAATTTCGTAGCCCTGTATGGTCTGTTTTATTTGTCCTTGGTATAATCTTATTGGTCAGTGTTTCATGGGCTACCCTTTCCTAGCATCAGCTCAATATACAAAATGCTTCTCTTGTGTAAGGGGTTACATAACAGCTTAGCCTCCTCCTGCATTGGGTAGCGGATTTACGTGCTCCTTTTCAACTAAGGCAGTGGAAAATCAAGGATTCGTGTTCAAAACAACCACATTTTAATTGTGTAAACTTAAGATAAGTTTCAATTATTCACATGGCAGAATTAATAAACATCTACTGTGGCCATCTCAGTCCAATTGCCATCATAGCCTATGTTTGAAACTCAATGAATCAAAAGCATTGCAGTGAATACAAAAATATAAACTGGCTCCGTTTTGTTAAAGCATTATTACCCCTTTCTCCCTGAGACGAAGAAGAGGAAACAGTAGAGGAAACAACAGTAAGTTCAAACAAAACCTCCTGATTGAAAACATCCCCACATCTGACTTCACTTTCATCAGATGATCGTGAAGATTACAAGGGAATTCATGTTTACACATCACATTGCACTCTAAGATTTCTATAAAGTTGTTTTTGATTAAATCCTAAAGAACGTCATCAAGTTTAATATCACTTAAATGATGCTATTATGCTAAGGTCCCAATTGACTTCTAATCCTTGTCCGTTTGACAAGCATTTTCTAAAGATTGCGGGCGGCACAATGTAAATCCAGAGACAGAAATAGCAGTCTTGAGGAATCACAGTCGTGTACGCGCATAGAGCACGGTCACGTTGCCCCTGTGAAATTGGAAGGGTAACCCCGCAGTATGTGGAGGCGGAGCCCGGGTTTAGCGATGGGCAGGGAGGGGGGCTCGTGGGGGAGGCGGAGTCTCGGCAGTCCTGGCAGGGCCGCCATTTTTGCAAAGGGAAAAGAGACTGGTTTGAGGGGATCTAATTTCTAAAAGTCGCCGATGACTAGGGTGCAGTTTTAACGGTTTTGAATATATTTCGAGTCATATTTGGGTCATCTCGTAGAACAAGGAAGCCAGGGATTTTTCACAGCAAAAAACTCTTTAGACGACAAGTTTATATACAAACATTTTAAAGCTTTGCTAGGGATCCGCAGTGTGTGGACAGAAGTATTGTTTTGGTTGTGGAAGCTGTGTGGAAAGCGACGGGGGTCTAACCCAGGTCCCCTTATTCGCTATTCAGATCATCCAGAGTGGACATAAAACGGTAAGTAAACTGCTATAAGTACTAGTTGTAGGGTGAGCACAAATCCTACCTGGAAGGCTATTGTTGGCTTTAGTTAGCTGGGCTAGGCTCATCATGCTGATGCTGGCTAACGTAGTTGTAGTATCAGCTGAGTTTAGCTTGCTAGCTAGCCGAGCAACACTGTTAGTTCAGGGGTCTGTATGGGGTTTGTACTTTATTTTTACGTTTGCCTTGATAACCTATTAAAAACGGCTTACTAATTGACGCAAGTTTTTAATTAAAATGGCAAGTTGGCAAGCGTAACGCCAGGAGACGTCTTGCTAACTAGCGCATGCTACTAGCTCAAATTAGCTTGACACAGACCGAGCAGTGCATTGACTCCTATTTGGAAGTGTGGCGATACACAAACGTCATACACATGTATCGGGTCAATATTATGTACAGCTCGTATTAATGTATATAGTTGTTTGCCAGAAATAACACTGAATACACATTCACGTATTGGTAACGTAAAACGAAAATGCTGCAATTAGATTAATGGCTGTCCCATAGCCTAACGTGTAACGTCTTTGCCACAGCATACAGTCTCGGTCAACAACAGTTTACATTGCCAGCAGTGAACTTGCCTTTAAAAATACGACACAATATTATTATTCACACTTTGACTATAACCATGAGGCGACACGCTTGGTGTTTAGTTGGACCAAGATACACTGCGGATCATATTGCGCACGGTTTCTACCATTTTAGTGTAAATAATGTGACCTCTTAAAAAAACGTTACCCGCTTTATTTCTAACCAGTTAATTTATGTCTAAGGTCCTTGCAGCTGACCGCAAACGCGCAAGTTCTTTTTTGACACCTCCTGTTACTTGATTACAGTATTTGCATCGTTGTCACCTAGCATTAAAACAGTACATTTACAATTAGTTACCAACTTGAATTAGTCGTGGTTGCTCCCACCCTGCTTAACCAGAGCACGGGACATTATTTCCGTTCAGCGAAATGTCATACAATGCCACTGTTCAAAGCCAGGGAACAATGAGTTTTTACATGCATGTAAACAAATCTATGAAGGTGTTTATTCTAATATACCTCAGTGGACACAACCAGCTGTTAAAATAGCTTAAATGTCTAGCTACATTGCGCAGTAATCTCGTAGGCAGCAGAGTTTATATGGAATTGTATTTATGACGAGATGTAATCGATAATGGACCCAATGTCAAACAGACGCTTGTTTGATTGTAATCGGGCTAAAAAGTCCATTTCAAGATCACTTAATTTAGATTCTGTGTGTATAGGGTTCAAATGCTGCAAGCGTGGGGGAGGGGGTGTTACATTTGGGCATCTCACCCCAGTCATACAATTTGTAACTCCATCTCGAATGGCAACCCCTAGCCATGCCATGAACTATACTATCGCAATTGTTTCATGCGACCTGAAACTAACAAACGTATGCACAAGCGGATACATTTGGCCCAAAGCAGTTATTTGTCGCTCTTTCCTGTCTGTGACGAGCAGAG